GCACAACTAGGAGAGAGGATAGCCTAGGGAAACCACCGCCGCTGGGCCAAATAAAATCTTTAAAAATAACATACACAGGCGACATAATCAAAGAAACAGCAACAACCATTTTGGAAAGAACATTTTCACAATTTTAAACTCATTTATGCAAAATGCATCCTTGGGTCTAATTCAACAATGAAAGACCTGACACAATTAGCAGCTGGAATAAGGAAAAGGCAGAACCAGTACATTTCCATCACTAGGATTGATTTCAAAAACCTGTTCACCTGGTTTTTTCACCTTCTCAGAGATTAATCCTTTTCTGCCTTACTAATGTTACCAATGTTAATAAAAATTCTTTTCCTTCAAGACACAATATTCTTAAGAGTACATTAAAATAAAAAGTTAAAAAGAAAGCAAAACTCATTAGCCTATCAGCCTAAGCAAGCTAACTGCTAGCAGATCCAACTTATCTTAGTAATGAGGTGCTTACTCTCTAGGAAAACAAAAATTATTTTGATATGCCTTCTTCTGACTAGATGATTAATTTAAATGTCCAGCAAAGAATCTGCTTAAACATGTATCATTTAACATTTGCTAGGCCGGCGCCGCGGCTCAATAGGCTAATCCTCCGCCTTGCGGCGCCGGTACACCGGGTTCTAGTCCCAGTTGCCCCTCTTCCAGGCCAGCTCTCTGCTGTGGCCAGGGAGGGAGTGCAGTGGAGGATGGCCCAAGTGCTTGGGCCCTGCACCCCATGGGAGACCAGGATAAGTACCTGGCTCCTGCCATCGGATCAGCACGGTGCGCCGGCCGCAGGAAGACCTTTCTCTCTGTCTCTCTCTCTCTCTCTCTCTCTCACTGTCCACTCTGCTTGTCAAAAAATAAAAAAATAAAATAAAAAAAATTTTGCTAAGGCATTAAGAATATGGCAGTAAAATTATTTTTGCACTTAAGCTTTAAAGTCTGAATTCAGAAATAAACTATATATATAAAACCAGACATATACTAGATATAAAAAGGGTAAAAAAAAAAAGTTGCCAAATGATTACACAGCCAACTTTACTGAAGGTAGAGTAGCATTTCAGACATAAATGACATACCAGGAGTTAAATTCAGACATAGGAAACTGGTTTAAACACAAGCTAAAGACAAGTACTTTGACTAAATAGGAAGAAAACAACTGGTAAGTCCAAGGTTCTAAAAATAAGGGGAAACTGGCTATTTCAATGTCTCATAGAAATGTTTATGTTGTATTAACTGTGCCATCAGTTTATGGTTTTTTTTTTATCATATATAGTTGTATATGCCACAAATCCCCTTTAAAAGTTGAAGGGCTGGAGCCGATGTTGTGGCCTAGCAGGTAAAGTCACTGCCTGTGACGTGGGCATCCCAGATGCTCCACTTCCCAGCTGCTCCACTTCTGATCCAGCTCCCTGCTAATGTGCCTGGGAAAGCAAATGCAAAGATGGCCCAAGTGCCTGGGCCTGCTGTACCTACATGGGAGATCAAGCAGCTCCTGACTCCTGGCTTTAGCCTGGCCCTGTCCCAGCTGTTGTGGCCTTTTGGGGAGTGAGCCAATGGATGGAAGATCTCTCTATTTAACTTTCAAATAAATCTTAAAAAAAAAAAAAAAAAAAAAAAAACAACCTGAAGGACTCCTATGAGAAATTTCTATCCCTGTCAAAGTGGGAAAAAAGACTTTTGAGAATTACCTTACTGAAGGCTCTGTTAAAATATTTCTTTTTCCCAAGATTTATTATAAAATGCAATTAGATTTGTCTAAAAATGTATTTTCTCAAACAAAAAGGAGTTCCAAGGCAGGTGTTCTGGTACAGCAATTAAGGCATCACTCGGGACACCTGCATCCCATATTTGAGTGCCAATTTGAGTCCCAGCAGTTGGTTTCAAATCTAACTTCCTGCTAATGTGCCCAGAAAGGCAGCAGAGGAGAATGATCCACGCGCTTGGGCCCAACCATGCAAGTGGGAGACCCGGATAGAGTTCCTGGCTCCTGGCTTCTGTCTGGCCCAGACCTGGCTGTTGTGGGCATCTGAGAAGTGAACCAGCAGATGGAAGATCCCTATCTCCCTCTCTGTCAGTCTGCCTTTCAAATAAAATTAATCTTTTCAAAAAAAGATAATTAAAAAAACAACTAGGGGCTGGCGCTGTAGCGTAGTGGGTAAAGCCGCCGCCTGCAATGCCAGCATCCCATAAGAACACAGGTTTGAGTCCTGACTGCTCCACTTCCGATACAGCTTTTCGCAATGGCCTGGGAAAGCAGCAAGAGATGGCCCAAGTCCTTGGGCCCCAACTCGCATGGGAGACCTGGAATAAGCTCCTGGCTTTGGATCAGGACAGCTCTGGCCGTTGCAGCCAATTGGGGAGTGAACCAGCAGATGGATGACCTCTTTCTCTCTGCCTCTCCTCTCTCTGTGTAACTCTGATTTTCAAGTAAATAAATAAATCTTTAAAAAAAACACACTGCCAGCGCCATGGCTCACTAGGCTAATCCTCCGCCTTGCGGGGCTGGTACACCGGGTTCTAGTCCCGGTCAGGGCGCCGGATTCTGTCCCGGTTGCCCCTCTTCCAGGCCAGCTCTCTGCTATGGCCAGGGAGTGCAGTAGAGGATGGCCCAAGTACTTGGGCCCTGCACCCCATGGGAGACCAGGATAAGTACCTGGCTCCTGCCTTCGGATTAGCGCGGTGTGCCGGCCGCGGCGGCCACTGGAGGGTGAACCAATGGCAAAAGGAAGACCTTTCTCTCTGTCTCTCTCTCTCACTGTCCACTCTGCCTGTCAAAAAAACAAACAAACAAACAAAAAAAAACAAAAAAACAAAAAAAAAAACCTAAATGTGTACCACAAAAATGTTTACTATGAAATATCAAACCTTAATCTTAAAAACTAACAGACCTTCATAGGTCCACTTTATGAGATTTTTATAGTATCTTAAAGAATTTGATATTTACTTCAGTTTCAAGATCACAAATCTCAAAATTCAAACGCTAAAAAGAAGTCTATATCTAATAAACTCAAATCAAATGCCTTACATAGTTTTAACCAAGAAAACTAAGACCCAGAATTAAATTTAAATGTAGGATGTTTACTTTCAGTGTTCAATAACAGGTCGAACAACTCATTCATAGTTATCTACATGCAACTACGTAAGACTGCCCTGACTTTGAGATCTTTCAAAATCAGCAATGTAAACTTCAGTTTTCCACTTCTAAAACTTCAGGTTTTTAAAAAAGATTTATTTTATTTATTTGAAAGATTTACAGAGAGGTAGAGACAGAGAGAGAGGTCTTCCACCCACTGGTTTACTCCCCAGATGGCCACAACGGCCAAAGCTGCAACGATCCAAAGCCAGGAGCCAGGAGCTTCTTCCGGGTCTCCCACGTGGGTGCAGAGGCCCAAGGACTTAGGCCATCTTCCACTGCTTTTCCAGGCCACAGCAAAGAGCTGGATCAGAAGAGGAGCAGCCGGGACTAGAACTGGCGCCCATATGGGATGCCGGCGCTTCAGGCCAGGGAATTAACACTCTGCGCCACAGCGCCGGCCCCTAAAACTTCAGTTATAACTATTTCCAGCCAGAAAGAAAAATTAGCATTATTATTGTACTTTCTGCATACACTTTTGTTACTTATTTTATCCATGTTCCTTAAACAAAAATATTAATACTGAGACTACCTTTTTGCCATCAATTACAATTTTCATGTACTATGTTTAAACACACACACAGAGTGCCTTAGTAATTAGTTTTGGTGGTACATCCATAAATAAGCAATGTCAAAAGACTAGTCTTCGGGCCAGTGTTGTGGCACAGCCGGTTAAGCTATGGCCTGAGACTCCAGCATCCAATACTGGAGGGCAGTTCAAGTATTTTTGGGGATCACTTCCCACCCAGCTCCCCGCTAATGTGTCTGGGAAGGCAACAGAGAACAGATGAAGTGCTTGGGCCTCTGCTACCCTTATGGGAAGCCAGGATGGAGTTCCTGGCTCCTGGCTTCAACCTGGCCCAGACATGGCTGTTGTAGTTATTTGGGGGAGTGACCCAGTGGATGGAAGATATCTCTATCCACCCCTCCCCACAACTCTGATACTCTTTCAAGTAAGTAAATAGATCTTTAAAAAGCCTAGTCTTGGGGCCGGCGCTGTGGCGCAGCAGGTTAACACCCTGGCCTGAAGCACCGGCATCCCATATGGGCACCGGTTCGAGACCCGGCTGCTCCTCTTCCAATCCAGCTCTCTGCTGTGGCCTAGGAAAGCAGTGGAAGATGGCCCAAGTCCTTGGGCCCCTGCACCCACGTGGAAGACTGGGAAGAAGCTCCTGGCTCCTGGCTTCGGATCGGAGCAGCTCCAGCCATTGCGGCCATCTGGGGAGTGAACCAGCAGATGGAAGACCTTTCTCTCTGTCTCTACCTCTCTCTGTAACTCTGTCTTTCAAATAAAAAAATCTTTAAAAAAAAAAAAAAAGCCTAGTCTTTTCCTATGAAACATACACATTAACAACCTAGTAATTTGAACTGTTACAACTTACTGAAACAGATTCAAGGTCCAACAAATATTTACAACATACAGAAATTCTGTAGGTTTTGCCACAGGAAAAATGCATGCAAACATTTTATCAAATAATTACAGCATCTTTAAATAGGCACCTCATATTTCTCTCTGTAAATCTGCATTTAGAAAAACATTTTAGAACTGCCACAAAGAACCCACTTTTCAGTAAACAGCTAATACCAAATATCTATGATTTAACCCATAATAACAAAATAGATACAGTATTAAAACAAGCAAAAAATGTAATGGTTCAATTTGCCTTTGATAGAACACACAGTACTTGTTAGCACAGATGCTGATTAGCTACCTTGTTTCCCAGAAAAACATTTCTCTCTTCACAAAAATTACTAGCACTAAAAGGTTAGCTAATTTGTTAACATTTGTAAAGCTCTAAGATTCTGCTGTAACAATTTATCATCTCAGTCCTTTTAAAGTGACATAGGCCTTAATATCAGAGTTGTAAAATGCCACACAGAATTTCTGCATCTGACAATTAGTAACATACTGATTTCATTAACATAATGCACACTTACACATTTTACCACCTCTCAAAAAATTATTGAGGGCTTAAGCAGTGTGTCTTATTTTAATTCACAGTGCTCCATAAAATAATAGTACCTCTTACAATAAACGGCATCTTAAGGTCCCCTGAAAATGGACAACTTGTTTCTCAGAATTACAAGTTCTGGCCCCAAAAGACAGCTAGTCCAGTAGCTAGTCCAGCACCTCATTTTGCAGTTGAGGAACATGAAACCCGAATAAGCGGTGTCTCCGTCAGAAAATTAAGAACAAGAGCCTGAACTCAGGGCTTGCACGCCCCGTAATGCCTTTTCCATTACACAACCTGCCTCCAGAGATTAAAACAAAAAACTACCTGAGTTCAATACAACAGCTCATGCTGGTGACAAATCCAGGCGGTTAATATATACGTAAAAAGCTTATTACTCAGGAGCCTTGTGTGCGTCCTCAATCAAGAGGCTGTCTCAAAATCAGCAACTCTGTATTTCGTGTTTGGTAAGCCGCACAATGAATTACCGACACTTCAAAAACGAGAGCTTCCCCGTAAGACCGGAATCTCATCGGAGGCATTACAATGACTCAGGGTAATCTCACTAGCATCTTCTTTTCTCTGGAGGGGACAGTTCCCCAGGAGAGTTAGCTTTAGCCCACCTGGAACCTACACACTCATTTCTCAGCCCCAGAAACTTCGCACATCTTTGGCAGTCTGACAACTGCACGATTCACAGGTGGTTGGTACGTTCACATCTCTCCTTGCAGGGAAAACGACAAGGACCGAGGAAGCCGCTGACACCCGCGGTCGACGTGCAGGGCCGGCGGTGCACCGCGCAGCCGGGATCACGACACGCTCTCCGGGCGCCCAGGGCCGAAGCACCCGGGCGAGGGCCAGGGAGCTGTCGCGGAGGCCGGTGGCGCTCCTCGGGGTCCCTCCACTCGCCCTCTCCATCCCCCGAGCCGGAGGAAGGCAGAGGTGGGGGCTGGACGGCCGGAGGCGGGGACTGGGGGCCTGCCGGGCGGCGGGGGCGGCTCGGCTCCGCTCCGAGGCCGCGGGAGGCCATTTTAGCTCCAGGGCCGCCCAAGGCCCCGGCGGCCCTCCGCTTTCCCAAATCGCGGCCGGGTCTCCCTCCCCGCCCCCGCGGGGGGCCGCTCCCAGCCGCGGGCTCCGCGGAGCCGAGCCGGGCGGGGCGGGGCGGAGCGGGAGCGGCCGCGGAGCCGGGCCCGCCGCGGGCTAGGGCTCGGGTCCGCCGGGTGGGGGCTGGCGCGGGGGCGGCCGCGGGGGCGTCGCGTCGGCGGGATCCCGGCCGCGGGGCGGTCAGGGGCAAAGAAGGGAGAGAGCGGGGAGCCGTTACCTATACTGCGCCGCAGCCGCCGCCGCCGCCGCCCCGCTGTGGGTGAATCCAAAGTAGTTGCCGGTCGCCATTTTGGCATCTTCCCCCAGCCGGCTGGGCACTGCGGCGGGCACGGAGAGTCGGGTCCCATGGCGGGAGGAGAGGCGCGGAGGGGCCGAGACGCCAAGGGAGGGAGGGGAGAGAGAGAGAGGCGCCGTGAGAAGCTGCCCCGGCCGGCCCGGGCCGCGGCCGCGCCGCCTCCCCCTCCCGCCTCGCACTCCTCACTCACACGCACGCCCCGGTGGCGGCCGCCGCCTCCTCTCCGGAGCCAGCCCCAACCCCCGCACCTCCCCGCCGCCCCGGGCCAGGGAAAGGGCAAGGCTGAGGCCTCGCGGGCCACATTAGACTCACCATAGGTGAAAGAAACTACAGGGCATATGGGAATCATGGGCTCGGGCTGCTGCTGCTGAACTCTGAACTCTCACCCGCTGCCTCCCTCCTCTGCCCCGCTCCTCCTCAGCGGAGAACAGACCGCCGCCTCCGGCAACAGTGCGCAGGCGCGCCCGCGCTGGGCATCCTGGGAGCTGTAGTCCCGGCAGCCCTCACGGTCCCTCGCGGGTGCGTGGGGGGCCTCGGCGGGGCGAGCGCGGAGACGCTAACTAGGGGCGAAAGGCAGGCCAGGAGGGCCTGACCTTGTCGGGCGCCGTAGTGACGCTAGGCGGGGTGGGGAAGGCGGTGGTGCCCGAGGGCTGGCGGGGCTCGGCGCGGGGGCGTCGGGGAGTGTGACCCAAGAGCGTGACGTCCATCGGCCTTTTCCCCTTCTTACTTTTCATTCCTTTTTTTTCACTTTTGCGCGTGCATTAGTTCACCTTCCCGTTCGCCTCGCTTTTCAACAGATAATTAGGATTCTGTCTGCCTTATTTTCCACATTCTTGCTGCTTGTCACCAACCTCTGAAGGAGGGAGCGAGAGTGGAAAGTGCATCCGTGTGTGGAACTGAAAGCTCGCGCACACCTCGCACACCCCCTGCGCCCAGACCCCCGCGTTACTTGGCCCGGGTGACCAGCGCCAGGTGTCAGGCGCCGTGGTGTATCTGGAGGTACAGCAGTGACCCAAGCTAAGTCCCGGTTCACGTGGAATCTACCTTCCAAGAGGGCTGTGTGTCTGACAACAGCCGAAATCTGGAAAAGGCTGTGGGACTGTGATTGGAGCTTTGAGGGCAAAGCAGGGCAATGAGGGGTACGGAAGGTGCTGTTATATGTGGAGTGAGGTTAGGGCCAGTTGAAAGGAGCCCGGGAGATACCCATACCGGGGATGGTTTTGTATTTGTATGACCGACAGATTGTCCGTCTTCGGGTTCGCTCCTCAAATACTGGCAACAGCCTGAACGGGGTCAGGCCAAAGCCGGGAACTGAGAACTCAATCTAGGCTCCCACATAGAAGGTGGCCCAGGAATTTGGTGGAGTCTCCCCAGCCCGGTTCAGAGGCGCCTACCTGGGAAAACCTCTTGGACCAGAGAAAATCCACCCTAATGGAGGAAATACTACAGTTATAGATGTGCTGCTTAGATGGTAGTGCATATTGTAATGGCCAGCCTCTGGCTGTCCTACCTGCTGCTCCCTTGCGACCTATGGTAACAGTCACCCTGTTATAGGGACTGCCACCAGAGTATAACCCTCAGACTACACTGTGTTCTAGTTCTGCTCTCTCTCTGCACTGGTGAATTCTCTTCCTCTAGGGTCCCAAGTACTTGAACCATCATCTGCTGCCTCCTGGAGTGCACTTAAACAGGGTGACTGGAATGAGGAGTGGAGGGTGGGGTGATGCGAGTGTTTTAACCTGGAAGAGTGTTAAGGGCTAGAATGTTCAGCAGCAACCAGAAGGTCAGTATGACTGGAGCAGAGTGAGACAGCAGCCACATCAGAAATCTGCTTGGTGCGGGTAGTGGGTCTTTCTTAGTAAAGGCAGAACAAGACTCTTCCCCCATTCAATTCTTCCTTCCCTCTGCTTCCTCAGTTTCCCTTTACTTCCCCAATTCATTTTCAACCATTTTCTTCCTTCTAGTAGTCTGTCTTCTGATGGCCTGTTTTCTTCTGCCTTCCCTGCTGACAGCCATCAATGCATAAATGTTCCATTTCACCTTTTCCTCACCTTCTCCATGCCCGTCTCCCAGACACCCTGCTACTCATCCTGCCTCAATGTTGGACTGGAACAGTCAAAAGAAATGCAAAGGGTGATTCGGAACTCACCCGTGAAGTTCAAGGCTTTACCCCACCTTTTTATGCAGAGCAGAAACAATGCCTCAACACTTATTTGTGCCAACCCTGCTCCCCCACACCTCCTACGAAGATACAGCTTCTGAAGATCTGTCTGATTTATCCTCTTACTCATTTCAGAAAAGAGAAAATGTGGAACTCTGGAGAAAAATCATTGTCATTGTTTTTTTTTTTTCTTTTTCTTTTTTTATTTTTTGACAGGCAGAGTGGACAGTGAGAGAGAGAGACAGAGAGAAAGGTCTTCCTTTGCCTTTGGTTCACCCTCCAATGGCCACTGCGGCCGGCGCGCTACAGCCTGCGCACCGTGCTGATCCGATGGCAGGAGCCAGGTACTTCTCCTGGTCTCCCATGGGGTGCAGGGCCCAAGGACTTGGGCCATCCTCCACTGCACTCCCGGGCCACAGCAGAGAGCTGGCCTGGAAGAGGGACAACCGGGACAGAATCCGGCGCCCCGACTGGGACTAGAACCCAGTGTGCCGGCGCCGCAAGGCGGAGGATTAGCCTAGTGAGCCGCGGCGCCGGCCTGACTCTTTTTTTTAAAAGTTATTTATTTGTTTATTTATTTGAAAGGCAGAATTATACAGAGAGAGAAGGAGAGGCAGAGAGAGAGAGGTCTTCCACCTGCTGGGTCACTCCCCAGTTGGCCGCTACTGTCAGAGCTGTGCTGACCTGAAGCCAGGAGCTTCTTCTGGGTTTCCCATGTGGGTGCAAGTTCCAAGGACTTGGGCCATCTTCTACTGCTTTCCCAGGCCATAGCAGGTAGCTGGGTTGGAAGTGGAGCAGCTGGGACTTAAAAAGGCACTCAAGTGGGATGCTGGCACTGCAGGTGGCAGCTTTACCTGCTATACCACAGCACCGGCCCCTGTGACTTTTTAAAAACCTATCTCCTAGTGGCCCAAGTCCTTGGGCCCTGCACCTCATGGGAGACCAGGAGAAGCACCTGGCTCCTGCCTTCGGATCAGTGCAGTGCGCCGGCCGCAGCACGCCAGCCACAGCAGCCTTTTGGGGGTGAACCAATGGAAAAGGAAGACCTTTCTCTCTCTCTCTCTCACTGTCCACTCTGCCTGTCAAACACACACACACACACACACACACACACACACAAAACTATCTCCTAGTAAGTGAATGTACTTTGCTTGCTCACCAATGGTCAAAAAGTGAGTGATTCAGCTCTAGAAGAGGTAGATCCCAGAGTATCCAGTCTAGGCAGCATGACAGTTTACAGTCCTCCTGGCCAACCGTGGGAGGCAAGAGATGTGACTGGACGCAGCCAGTTGTAGCATCTGTCATCCTTCAGGTCCTGAAATGATTCAAAATGCAAATCTGATCAAAAGCAAAATTCTTCCACATGGCTTCTAGGACTGCAAGGTTTGGCCTACCTGCCTATTCAGCATCTTCTTCCTTAGTCTTATTGTAGCTACTTTGGCCTCCCATCCCTTGCTCCTTTGCATGGCCTCTCTGACTAGGATACTCTTCCTTCGTCTCTTTCACTGGTTAGCCCTCATGCTTAGAGATCTTAACTCAGTGAACCCCTCTTCAGCCTTCCCCAACTGTGCTGTCAGAGCACCAGGCATCTCTCCATAGTTGCCCTCATCACGGTTGCAATCTTAAACTTCTTGTGTGATGAATTAATATATTTCTCCCATCCAGCTATAAGTTCCATTATGGCAAGGAGCCAAAATTGGATGCCTACTGGTAGGCACCCAATTAGTACTTATGGAATGAATGAACCAGGCTGTGCACAGTTCAATCTTTCATGATTCAGAAGGCAGTTTAAGAATCTGTAGTGCCTCAGGGTCATAATTAGGAACCTCAATTAGCATCTGAAAGCAAATAAGGAAATGCTAATTGGCAGTTCTGTAAGCCACAAGGTGGAGCTAGGCTGAGAAAGACAGGCCCTAGATTCACCAAAAATGTTGTCACCTTCAGTGGTAACTTTGAGTCAAAGCTCGCATGAGAAAGACCTTGTTAGCATGCAGGTATGCTAACTGCTAAGAGGAGTATAGTGAGGTACAGAAGGCACAGACTCTGAAGCTGGATCTATTCGGCTTCAAATCTCAGCTCTGTCACTCATCGCTGTGTGTCCTCAGCCACAACCTCTCTATGCCTCCTTTGTGAAAAGAAATGTGAAG